ATTTGTTACTGACACAATGTGATTAAAACTACTGCTCTCTCTGTGCCATTGTCACTTCATGTCAGATTAGATATCAGCTACCAACTGTTAAAAACTCATATGAACTCCATGCCAGACATACTTAATTCAATGACAACGTGGTCACGTGAACTGGAACCAAACCTATATGCTTGGAGATCCATCACTGCACGCATCCAGTAAAAATGATGGAAAGAGCCTCACACACGCACACACTAAAATTAAGACATGCTTTCACTGAGAAAAAGTTCAAACATGAATGGTTCAAGCAGCTGTTTAATTTCTTAGGATCTCTCTCCTTAAAGTTACTCTGGGATTTTACCAAATTTGGTGTTCCTACATAAGGGCGCAAGGCAGTTTGTAAGGGTCATGGTTGAGATAACAGTCCTGGCTCCTGGCTCAAACTGCAAATGCAGGACCTCCATCACTATCAATTTTGTTTCATAAAAATAATTCAAATTTTAAAAAGCACAGTATGTCCTTACATTCCTTCTTTTCTTGTCAATCACTGTCATGCTCTTAGCATTTTTAAAACACTCCTGATTCTTACTGTAGAGGAACAGAACAAGTAATAAGAGCTCACAGTTCGACTTGTTAGCTTTTGGCCTAAAAAACACAAGGCCATTTGGCATTTTGTAAGAGGATATTCCACTGATAGCTAAACAGTTTTCTTGTACAAGTTGTCAAGGGGATTTTAAAAAGCTTTGCATGTTCTTCATGTGTGAGTAAATATTGAGGCTTGGGAAGACATGGTGTGCTGTTGGTTTTGGTTGTAGTGTTTCAGGAAAGGAGAAGAATGGAGAGAGAAGTGCCATAATCTCTGTTTTAAGTTATCTTGAACTCCTGGCTACTTGTGTTTACTTGCATTTCTGACAGATAGAACTGCTCTGGGCACTGCCTCACTTTTTCCACTGCTTGAAGTTTGATCTTTTAATATTAAAAAATGGCAGTTTGCACCCACCCAAGTTTTGCACTGTTGATTTCTCTCAGGAGATTGACATGTCTGCCCCACATCACCCATGACCAGGCAGTAGGGTGATATTTTTCTGTACTGTTGTACCAATATGTACTTCTTTCCTTTGTCATTGAAGCTGCAACACATCAGTAGAAAAACACACCCTGTCATTACTGAGAAGACTTCTAATCCATAGAGTTTCAGCTTGCTTTAATGCATGCCTTAGCTCAACTCAATACAATGACTGGAGTTGCAAAAACATGTGCAAGGTTTTTCATTAGTAAATCTCTTTCCCTCCGCTTCTCACAAGATGAAGCACCCCTGTAGCATTGCTGCAAGGCAGAGACAAGATACAAGCAGGAAAGAGTAGAGCTTGTTTTGCTGATAGGAGACTGCTTTTTGAAAGAGAAGCAGACCCTCCTCTGAGCATGCATTTTCTTCAAACACGTCACAACTTCCCTGTTTCTAAAGTCCATCCTGCCAATTCCTTCCTTGTTGATTTTGGCAGAAAGTTCAGAGCAATCAATTAACTGGTGACAAATCTCTGCTCTAAGAAAGTAAGATCTCACTGGGAAAATCAAGAATAGCCATAAAAAATGTTGCACAAGAAAATGCCTCATGTTGCATCTGTATTTAGCTTGTCAAAGGCTTTGCAAAATTCTGCCTTGATGAAGCAACTGTCAGTTGTCAATATCTAACGGCATTGCATTTCAAACCTGGAAAACTGTTGGCTCTTTTACCCCACAGATGTAATTTGGTTTGTTCCACCTTCTTTGTAGGATAACAGATAAAATGAGCTGCTTCTAGGAAGGCACGGTGGCTTTAAACTGGCACATACATTATCCTTGAGTTCACACTGGGTCCAGCGATGGGCAGGATCAATAAGTGACTGTCTTAGGCTGCAATGTAACCAAAAGTATGTATTCTGCTACCAGCTGTTCAAACCAGGTGGGGCAGTTATTTTCTGTTAATGGGCCAGCTGTTAAAACCAGGTGGTTTAACCTTTTCCCACTGGATTCCCAGAGGAAGACTAGACCTGTCTGCACCACCACTGGACCTTCAGAGAAAAACTGCACCCTTCTGCAGGATCACTGCTTCAACAGAACCACATTTGCCACTCCAGGAGGACTGCAGCCACCATTTAATGGGACTGCTACCAACACCCTGACCCACAGGTTGTCAGGTTATATTCTGACTCTGTCAGTACGTTTTTTGGGGTTTTTTTTTACTACTGCATTTTTATTTTAATTTTCATAGTAAAGAACTCTTATTCCTATTCCCATATATTTGCCTGAGAGACCCTTAATTTCAAAATTATAATAATTCGGAGGGAGGGGGTTTACATTTTCCATTTCAAGGGATGCTCCTGTCTTCCTTGGCAGACACCTGTCTTTTCAAACCAAGACAGAACTTATGACGCTGTCCCAGAGATTAACAGGAATGTCTCTCTGGCAGAAACAAATTAACAACAACATCACTCTGCAATCTCCAGCTATTTGGCAGCACACCCAGCAGTCTGCACAGCCACTAGAAATGCAACTCTTCAGCCAAGATGTCAAAGTTAAGCTAAACTTAACCACTCTAAGTTAGGGCCATCCAACCTGCTCTACCTAAGCCTTTGCTATATTGTGTAGAGAAAAGATAAAAATACCCAACAAAATATCTCAGAAAAGATTTTGTGTTATGTTTTCAGGCATCTAACCTATTTCATCCTTTGAGGGGTCAGATGTCATATTTCTGAGATTTCACTGGCATTAGGGCCTCTCTCCAAAAGGCAGTGAAATATAATCTTGTGGAGCATTACAGTATGTACTTTCCATCTGAATCCAGAACTTTGTGGACTCCTGGACTCATTACACTGTGGGAGAAGAGTTAGGTACCTACAGTAAATACAAGTAATTAATCCCCCAAATCAGGAAGTCCCCAATTTAAACCTAACTATACACAGGTAATTTTTCAGTAAGTTATTATAATTTAAATCAGCAGTGATGTGGATCAAACCTTTTCCCTAGGAAAGAGCAGTAATTCATCCAAAACTGGTAAAACTGGGACCAGTTCAAGTGAAAACAGTAGTCCAGTATCATCAATCCAAATCCCAGGGGACAGGTTGCAAACAACAAAGAGCTGGTAGAGGGAAGGCTCAAGGGTTAGAGATGACTCAATATTTCACTGCATCATTGCAAACAGGAAGAGGCTATTTCATAAGTCATGGGTCATTTCCATAACTTGAAAGCCCATCTGTATACAAACAGGTCATTACAGCAAGGAATCACACACAGGATTTTCCATCTTAACCTCAGAGCACAAGTGCTGGGCATGCTTACATCCTGCAGAAAGCTCTGTATAGTCTGGTGCAGACTGGAAACTTCCAGAAGAACCACAGTGTATGCTGGTGTCATGAACACACCCTTGTGTCTGCAATAATCCTCTTATCCTCCTAACCCTTTTCCTCTAATCCCTTAATCATTGTTGTGGCATGTCTCTATGTTTACATACATCAAACACTTCTTGCACTATGGATATGCTTTTGGAAACATGTTCAAAAGGCTTGATACCTGCCAATCAGCAGGAAGGAGGAAGTGAATCCTATTCATATTTGGTATTGCCCGTCTTCTGTGGAAGAGAAAGCCAGAGGTCATCTGCTGTTTGTAGCCTTTGTGAAGATGCCTCTTCATTTTTTTGCTTGAGTTGGTCCCTAAGTTGCTCTATTTCTGCAAACAGAGAGGAATTTTACTACTTTAGTAAATACTAAGGCTGCATCTGTGCTATACTTCTGCAAATGTTCAAAATTGCTGGTACTCAGGTGTTTGAGTTTTTTAATTGAAGAACTTTAGAGATAGGATTTCCTTTTTGAAAATAATTTCTGAGCGTTAAATAAACTGAAATCAAGAACAGGAATGTTTGAATTTTAGTTCAAACCTTTTAAAACTACTTAAATATATGAAGGAACATTCTGAACAGAGCATCTAATTCAGAATATAAACCACTATATATTAGAACATGAAACATTTTCCATCCTCATTTACTACTACCTTTTATTTTGTAAAGCTTCTTAAACATGTCTCCAGTCAACAACAGCCTGAACTACATATTCACACACACGTGGTCCCATGTGGAATTCCACTGATTTCAGAAAAGTTAACAACTCTCTACTAATTACCTTAACTGCTACTTAACTGTTACTTTATTCCCTTAGATGTGACATCAGATCTATAAAATCTACTCAGTGTGTGCAGGCCTTCAAAGATGAAGCAGAGTCTTACCCGATGTTAGCAGCAGCAGCCTGCAGGCACAGTGGCTGAGCTGTATCTCAGCTAGATGTGGAGGTCAGATACCTAACTTTGAGCTAGTCTAACCTCTGCTTCCTCTGTGGTCAGTAAACAAACATCTCAAGAGACAAATTAGTCTCCCTGCCACACAGACACAAGAATTGAACCCATTCCTACCTAAACTACTCACATAATTAACCATCTAGTCATTAACTGTCGCACATAGGGGGACTCCACGTGAGAATAATTATACACACACAAGTGCTGTTCGGGCTCAGGCTCCTGCTAGCCTGTGTTCTCTACACTGAGATCTTGAATTAGGGTAAGAGATGCTGAAATCAATCTTGGGATGTGTGCAGTGCTCTCCACAGAGTGCAAGGAAAGCCCAAGTGCACACTGGGCATCTGTTAGGTGTTTAAAGTTCAGGGAAATTACTTCCATTCACTATTAGTGTCTTATGTTTTAATCCCTAATAAATGCTAGAGCACTGACAAGTTATGCAATTATGTATTTCAAACACCTTAATCCTGGGCAGAAGTAGTTCCCAATCAAAACCAACATTATTTCAAACCTGTCTTCCTAAACTATATTTGGTTATTCTTATCTGGAAGAATAATGCCAGAGGAGAAAAAAACAAAAACAAATCTGAGAGGAAAAGCTGAAACAAAAATCTTTGCTAGCTACTTCTTTCTTGTAATTACTAACTAAAGATGAAGTATTAAGCACCGAAGGAAGCAATGAGGCTGACACGCTCAATATTCACACTGTGGAGTGTTTAAACATTACAGGATTACATGAACAGTCTTAGAGCCACCCTCTGCCGGTGGACACCCACGGGCACAGGGGGCCAGCAGCTCAAGCAGCTACAACGCTCTCCTGTTTCAGAGCCAGCAGAGATCAACGCCCCTGACGTGCATTTTGCAGCACCACGTGGAATTCAGCTACCCTAGAGACTTGAGCAGTGTGACCCGAAGGGAGCGGGAGGGACCGAGGCAGGCTCCTCTCTGCGCCCATTTGCGTTGCAGGGTGCCTCGGGTTCTGCAAGGGGAAGCTCTGCTATTCCCCTTCTCCCCTTACAGCTGCATCCAGCCCGGGTTTCACCTTACAGCCGTGTCCCTAGGAGCCTGCCAGGAGAGAAGATACGAACAGGATTTATGATTGCACAAACCGTGCTCCCTTTGCTGCTCTGCAGGCAAAACAGGTGGGCTAGGAAACCACAAACCCTGCCTGAACAAACCCTGTACTTGCACAACCACCGGCATGCATTCATTTTATTTTAAATAAAATACAAATGTAGTGTTTCTGTTTTGAAAATTAGGCCTTCTTTTATGACATCTACTGTTTTCTAAAGAAATAATACAAAGCTACCTTGCATTTTGGACTCAGAAATGTGAACATACCTGCCGATGTCAAAACCAGGCATATGAAAATGGGTGACTAGTTAAAACTGTATCAAAGAGTTCTTTATCTATGGATGGCTTCTAATATAACCTTTACTAAAGAGAGGGCAGTAGTAGACTATGATTATGAATGCACTACAAATTAGGGGAACCCTGCAGAGGCACTTCTAAGTCTTTGATTCTCCTTGTTAAAATACGTCAGCAAGTTTTCCAAGGGATAAAAGCTTTCACACAGAACACTGCAGACATAACGTGTACGAAGGGCTGGGTTTGCTCAGCCTGCTGACAGGTTTTTGCACTATTGTATTTTAGCTGTGACTGGCTGGTTCCCAGCAATACCATGGGTCTGCATCTTCCCTGGGCATCTGCAAAACACCACTTCTGTATTGGAGGTATTTGAAGCAACTGGCTACAGAGATCTGGTTTTCCTCATGTGTCATCAGTTTTGGAAATAGAAGGTACAACTTTAAAATTCTAAAATGCAAAGATTAAATATATGAAACTTGGCACATGAAGAGCACTTTTTGTCTACTTTTTAAGTGTTATTACATCTCTTTCCCTAGCCAGATTCAAAGAGAGCTCTTTCCTCCAAACTTACTTTTTTCTTTATAATGATGGGATGCTATGGGTGGAATTCTGCAGCCACCAAAATCACTATCTCCCCACAGCTAAAATTTCTTACTATACGGATTTATTCTAGGGTTTCTCACACACTAAACACTGAGTGCAGTGTACCACTTATGGGTGACAAGGAAATAGTAGAAAAATTAAAAAAAAAAAAAAAAAAAAAAAAAAGAGTTTGGAAAAGCTGTGTGTTGCAGACTAGCTAGAAACAAAATGGTGATGAAAATCAAAGGCCATTTGTGGATGGTGGACATGAGCAAAATAGTGCCTTGTTTTTCCTGCTAAGTCACTGACTGCTGAGCAGTAAATTCAGGAAAGACTGGGATAGATATTCTCTTACATCCATGGAGGTGAACATTACCTGGAGGTTGCACACATAAAGCACTGCCAGCGCATAGGGGAAGTTCAGGGTGCATGTTTCCTTTGGGAGAAATTAGATGATAAATCAATAGTACTCAAGAAGCAGAGACAGTCATATCAGAAAGAGTGAGGCAGACATATTCCAAAAGAAATATCTTGGCCGATGTGATTTGTACCTAAATTTAACTTCAGGTAACAGAGACCTGAATATAGCAAAAGGCTGGGATAGCTGAGGTACCATCAAGCTCATGTGAAGGGAGCTGCAATGCCACTCAGAATGAATGGCAGCAATGCCACCCATCCCAGAGAGCCAATCACTGAAGTGTTGACAGAAACTTGTGAGAGACCCCTCACATCTTTGCTTTCATGGCCAAGCATGTCACATGCCTCAGTACTCATGACAAGGTTAATCAACCCTCTCAAGGTTAAAAGTTTAAAAGACAGACATAAGCAGATGTTTTAACAAAACAATTAATGCCAACTGTATTTGCTGTGGACCAGACATTTGTGTTCTATTTGTTCTCAAGAAGGAATAGCTTCTCCATCCCATGAGTTTGTCAAAAAGCTCCTCTCCTTTTCCATGATTCTCCCAACTCACTAATTTGTATTTTAATGTGTTAAATTATGAGTAATATATAAAAACATGTATACAAATGTATACATTTTATATACAGACATATATGCCTAGACTTCCAGATACATATCTAGAAATAATTTACACTATAAAAATACTTATGAATTATTGTATAAATATTTCTAATGAATAACATTCATTTATTCTCTTTGGACCCAGTAAAATAGAGTCCATTTCATCACCCCCTTGTTTCGAGGAGGTAGCACTGGGACAGCACTTCCTCAAGTCAAAATCTACCCTGGAGTTGAGAGCTTTCAGTGGGCAAGAATTTTCAGAAGGCCAAATGCACCTCACCACTGTGAGTTAGTGAAGTGTGACTGCCTGTCATCCCTGGTGACACACCTGGCTGCCAGCTCATGTGAGGATTGCACGTGCCTCTACTTCATGTTTGTTTCTCCAGAAAGGTTAACAGCAGCAACTGGGGGATGCAATTACTCTCTCAGCTGACATCCACCGAGGCAGAGCTTGTATAGTGAAGCCACTGCAGGTCTCTCTGAAACAGCTGTCACCTCATTGTCCTCATCAGAGGGCAACATTCACCATTATCACAACAGAGAGAGGAAATCATAATTGCATAGTAAGAGCTCACAGCAGAGCAGCCTTCACTGTAAGCAGGAACATTGCAAAAATGACAATAGGGTTTAGCTTTTTACCTATCATATGTGCAACATTTTAGTACCCAATTCTCTCTTTTGCTGATCTACTCTGCCATTGAATATGTAATTGTATTTGGCTACATGTGCACGGGTAATGTACAACTCCCTATGTGAAAGAATTAGTTCCATCAAAGGAAAATATATTGGTAGTCTCAGTAATAAAAAAAAAAAAAAAATTCCAAACTTAGAAGAAAAGTGTTCCACATCTTACTCCAGCTCCATTTGCAAAAGGATTTGTCTGGAGTACATTGAACAATCTCCAGTGCTGCTTACAGACAGCAGGGCTGCTTGAGCTGCCTGGTCAGAAGGCTACACACAGCAAAACCACAAAAAGGACGTGTCATGAGACCTAACACAGAAAAACACGGTTAACAAAAGCACCCATGTGCACAAGGGACACTGCTGCTCCTCCCCCACAAAATTAACAGCATCCTTAGATGTGTGGTTTAATGAGTCAGAGACTTCAGCAACAAGGCAACAACTTTGGACTTCTGGCATGCACCCAGTCACCTGGTTTTTGTGCCATGGTGAAAACGCTCTAAACCAGTTCACATACCTAATTCAAGTTCTGGAAAGCCACAGAACTACAAACCTCCTTCTCCAAACATCTGCAATGACCCACAGAAAAACACACCCAGGGCAGGGAGTGTGTGTTAACACCCTGATTAAGACACCAATAGCTCCATATGCCGCTCCAGGTAGTTGCATTAGCATGAAAGGGAAAGGTGTACTGCAGCATGGGAAGGCAAGGGCAGAAGGTAACACCAAACTCCTCAAACTACCAGTGCCATTACTGCCTCTACTTCATGCAACTGCATTTTCCAAGAGCTCCAAAGCAGGGAATACCACCTAGGAATGTATACCCAAAGAGGCTCTACTAGAAACAAAACAATGCTGATACACATGAAACCAGAACACAAGGGTTAAGACTACCTTGAGCAAAGTTGCTTAAGTGATCAACTACACATCTCTATGCTATCTTTCTTGTATTGTGGCACATCAGACCTGTTAAGACACGAAGAACACACTCTTCTCACCTTGTGAGCCCTAGGTGTTGTGCATGCAGAACAAGGTTCAGAAAACATTCTGGGTCATGCAACTCAGCAGGTATAGTGAGCAATGCTAGTGTGACCAACTTTAAATCTCTGCAAGAGCAGTGTAACATCTTTTTCATAAAGTTGTGCATCAGGAAACCAAGGGCTGCCAGAGTAGCCACTGAACTCATGAGGAAGCAGGTTTGTGTAACTTATATGGACTGCAGCCAACACATGAAGGTTAGCTCCTCACTAGCAATCCACTAAATTACATCCTTAGGACACCACATGTAAATAACTTGTGAATGGAGCAAGTGAAACTATGTGAGTGGAAACTTGGCCAGGAACCTGAGATACTTACTGTCGCTGCCAGTTTTCCAGGAAGAGGCATTTGCAAATAAACAGCAAAAAACCACCACCCAAAAATGAGAGTCAACCAGTGGTAACATATAGAGATACTACAAGTTTGGGTTAAGAGTCCAGAGCAAGGAAGAGAGGAAATGCAGGGAATTGTGGCACAGGCAACACAATCAAATGATGCTGTCCTAGGAGCTGCATGCTTTTCCACAGTGCAGCATTACTTACCCGAAAGGAAATGGTTTGTGTGCACTGAGGAATGCTCTGACTACACTACTATTCCTTAGGTACTCACTGCCCAAGCTTGTATTTTAAGCTGAATCATACAGGAAGCAACAAGTAATTTTGCAGCATTGCACTCAAACAGCTGAAGAACCCAAAGATGCTCACACACATGATCAGGGATTCCATCAATTTAGGTGGGGGACTTCCTTTGGAAATTAGTAACAGTGCATCACTTCACATAAACAAAGTTGCTAAAATTAAATGTAAACCTCTGGTTAAGGCTTTCACTCTCCTTTCATCCAACACTCTTCCCCTACAACCTCACAAAAGAAAGAGCCAATGAACAGTGCTGGACACTTGCCATAACCAAAGGCTCATATTGCCCTTGTCAAAGGAGGTAATTTCCCAAAATGCATTCTTTCAATGAAGATATTCTTAGTGAGCTTTTAATTTCAGTAGAATTTATGTGGCCCTTAAAAATCCTCTACTCTCTCCCCTCCCACATTTAATTTTTTTTTTTTTTTAATGTTGAAAGACATAAAAGCTAGTACCACGCTTGAATGTTTGCCAGCTCATGGACTGCTCTCCTGGCACAGGCAAGCCCATCAGCTCAACAGTATCAGTTACCAACTCAGGTTTACCACACCACAACAAAAATAGACCTTCCCCAGATTAGTGGCAACTGAGTCAGGTCCACACCAACCATAACCTCTGGGATACCTCTACTTGCTTTATGCAATACGGGATTTTATCAAGCTTTGTGCTGAAGAGGGCAGAGCACACGAAGTACATCTAAACATGCACTCCAAGTGTTTCTTGTTCCAAATGGAAGTGCTCAGGGCACCCATTGTACAAATTATAGCCAGAACAGCGGCAGCCAAAGGATTTATGCTCAGCCCTGAGTCCATCTGAGCCATGTTTGTGTGCAATTATCCAGCAATGCAGGGGGGAGCAAGGCTTATCTTCAGTGCACAGCTACAATCAACCAGCTGGCTCTGCAAGAGTTAGGTGGACCAAGAAAAGCTATTGTTTCAGGAACTAAGAGTGTTTGACAAAAACTGAAGCTGTTTGGGTGGTTCTGAACTGGGGAGTGGCATATGTCCTTTCAAGAGAAATGGAGTCTGCCTACAGCATTGTGGTCTTTAGTGGTCATGTCAGGCCATCCCACCTTAAGAGATAAATCCATGTGTAGCTAGCAGCTGCAGAACTTTTGATTCTGCTTGTTTAGCAAGTTCTCCCCACTGCTAGTGTGCCTTCCTAAAGGGAGCTTCCCACAACTGGAACCTTGGAGCCTCCTCTGTCTTTCAGCTACTTGCAGTTTTTCAGTGTCCTGACTAGCACTTTTAAGTTCTGCATATTGTGATTATCTTCCCCAGTATCTAAAATAAAATCAATTTCCTGTTTCAGTATCAGATGAGCTCTCTTTTCAAATGAGTTTGCTTGAGTGAACTGAGTGACTTCGAAGCTGTGGAAGCAACCACCTTTTTCTCTCTACTGGGTTCTTTCAGATACCAGATCTTAAGAACACGGGGACTTGCGGCAGCCTGAACACCCTTTCCTATTGTGTAACTGTCACTGAACTGCTGCCATGTTTCAGCTGAAGAACATATCCATCCTAACTTGGCTCCTGACTGGTCTTAGAGCACTCTTCTTTTTGCTGAAAGACAAAAAAAAGGAAAACACTTTATAATTAGTCATTAGAATAATTTCCAGAGTTGCTTTACACTCGTTTGGCTATGCATAAATACTAGGCTCTTCCAGATACTGGTTTAACAGTTGCCTCCCCACAATTTCATTTAGAACATTTTAAAAAGGCACAGAAGCCTTCCACTCTTTCCTGTTTTTCCAAACTCACAATGTATTCTCAGCATTAAGATACTTGGAAACAGTAACATGATATACAAGTACTTGCCTGTTCTTCCTAGCTGAACTCATCCTCTCACCTTTCACCTTGCAGCTCCAGAAACTTTTTGGCAAACAGCTCCATAGGAAACAATTAAAACAAACCAACCTTCATCACAGCTTCTTCATCCACTATCCTCTGAGCAGCAACTTTCATTTGAAAGAGTTTACACCCTCCCCCAAAGGCTTTGAAATAAGCAGTTGGTCAGTGACACTTCCTCTCCTTCCCCCAAAGGGACTTACAGCCAGGATAACTGAAAGAGGATCTAAAACCAAAATTTATGTTCCAAGACTAGCATAAATGGTATCAATCTTAGAAACCATATTCCACTTTGTTTCAGTGCACATTGTAAATCTTTTTGTCCAGTGAATCTGTATACCAGGAATCACATTATGCCTGACCATAATTTCCAAGAATCCCAACAGTTCCCTGCTGCACTGACATGGATGTGACAGTGGCAGTAGATCTAGACCACCACACACCTCAAAAATGATGACATGATGTGTTAGTATACTCCACCTTGCAATCTGTGTTTCTTATGCAGCCTGGCTTTGTATACTACCCAGTGAAATTTAAGCATCCAAATGCTTGATTTCTTTAAGAGCACACTTGTCAGAATGAGCACTGAGACACAAAGACAGGTTTCTACATATGAACTTGGATTAAACTTAGACTGAGCATTTTCTTCTTTGAGCGAAGTCATCACACATTCCTACTTCTTCGTCTCTCCTTCAGATCTTCCAACTGATTCTCCAGGTCAGGAAACTGGGCGGTTGCTTACCAGAGTCCACAGTGCCCAAAATCACTTCAGTAACAATGACAACCCATAGGTATTGCAGTGCAGCACAGTAAAGTTACACATAAACCTCTCAGCTGCACAGGCTGAGGACCACACAGACACTGGAGCAGGTTTTCATTAACAGCGCTAAAGCAGAGCATACTGAAACAGGCGGGTTTTCAGTTCTCTTGTCACCTTTTATCTTTTCATAAGAGATGCAGCCACACCACGTATTTCTGCAACAGCACTGTAAGCTTCTTACAGACACTGCAATTAAGGCCTGTTGGGTCAGGATAGATTTGGACATTGGCACTTTCAGGTGACCAGATTATCCAGGTCTGAGACACATAACACACGTTTCGTCATGAACATCTCTGACAAGATGTGACCAACAAGATCCATACACTGGCAAGTATCAAATTCTCCAAAACAGACCAAAGTGAACAACACACAGAGAAAACTTGTTTTACTTCTCTCTTGCATCAGGTGTTCATTTGGATTGTTTCTGAAGCCATTTATTTTTTCCTACCTTAGATGAGGTATCAGTGGCACCTACATCTACAGATAAAGAAATAAGATATAAATAACAACATACAATTATCTGTAAAGTGGGGTGCACAGCACTCTCCTCAGAGCAGCAGCACTGACTGCAGGGGGATGGGGAGGGACTGAAGGGAACCACTGCAGGTCAAACCAAATTGTTTCAAAACCAGTTTAACAAAACATACTGTCGTTCGGCCAGCAGACCATCCTGGATGAGAATTTCACATGCACTTTTTCTGACAGTTATAGAAAAGATAATCAAGCTTGACCCAACCATTCCACTGCAATATTTACCTTCCTTACCAGGTATCAGCTGCAGAGATAAAAGCATAGGCCTAAACTCTACAGTGGGCAACAGCTGTGACAGAAGTCATCGTGCCACTGCCCTTTATTTCGCCCACAGCTCCCCAGTCGAAAGGTATCTGCATAGAGGAGAAACAGAATAAGGAAAGAAATAAAAAGGGCTGTACTTGTAATTCGGAATTCTCCAGATATATGGAACTATTGATGCTACAAATTTTATTAAGAGAGCATTACACCCCCACCACTCCTTTTCTTCAGTGAGAAGCATGATAAAACAGGAGAACCTGCCTGTGAGGAGATGCACACTCAGAACACTGGACTTTTTGCAGGATGGCATGCAAGTGGCTCAGTTTCTTTTAGTACCAGCAAATTTTGAAAGCCCACAATGTCCAGGTGAAGTATCTACAGAACATCACAACATCCTTCCTCCAGCACTTGTGTATCCTGTGGCACACACACCACCTGTGTAGTTACTGGGCAGCAATATCCTGAGCAAATGCATCGTACTTACCTCCAGGAGGAGCCAAAGAATGAAAAAAACCCTTGTGACTCCATTTTACCTGAGCTGTACCACTACTGGACTTTAGCCAAGACTTCAAGCAAGCCTGCAAAATTCTTCACGACTCTTTCCAATTAAGTATCCTCCTGGCATAAGGAAGTGCTTTATTTCACAGGAATCAGCTGTAACTAGAAATGGTATTATTTCACAAGCCATGCAATACTTTGACCATCTTCCCTTCCAGTTTCAAGCACCAGCCTTCTACATATGGTTTCAGGGAACTCCAGTCCTCTTAAGGCTCACAGAGCTTTGACTACTCTCTCATTTGGTGAACGTGTATTTCCCATCCCCCAGCACAAAAGACTAGCACAAACAAGGATAATGCTCACTACACCAAAGTCTAAAAGCACTGCTCAAAAATTCCAGCCTACCTCCTTCATGCCAGCCAGAGGGCTGAAACTAAGACAGCACCTAGTCAGCTGGCTAAGCCCTGCCAGTGTGAGACAGCAAGCACAGACAAAACAGTGGCAGACCAAGTCATCTTGGCCGCTCCCATACCACGCTGAGATGTCCTACACCATCTCATTTGCACTCTCAGCTTTTCCAAACATGATTTACATGTCTATGGACATAGAATTATACATTTGGGTTACAAGTGACCTCAAAGACCATCTGGTTTCAACCCTCTCATGCCATGGGCAGGGACACCTTCCAGCAGACCAGGCTGCCCAGTGCCCCATCCAGCCTGGCCTTGAACAGTTCCAGGGATGGGACATCCACAGCTTCTCCGGGCAACCTGTGATGGTACCTCACCACCCCCACAATAAAGAATTTCTGCTTTATATCTAATCTCAATCTAACCTCTTCCAGACATACTAAGGACTTTAAAAGGAAGCAAAGCTCCTCCTGCTGGTCACACCAAGCCGTATGTCTCTGACAACCAGACACCATTAGTACAATTATCAGGCATCGGACAGAGCCAGAACCATTAAAAAACAACCTGAAACCAGGGAAGCGCAGGCTTCGCCGTCACAGACCTGCCGTGTGACAAGGGCACGTTCCAATCTGCTCCCTGCGGACAGCCGCCCCACCAAGACCAGCCCTGCTCATTAACCCACAGGCCGCACTTGGTCCAAGGGCCAAGCGCCGTGGCTGGTACAGCCCGCACGGGCCCCTCACCCGAACGGCGCGGGGGGCACAGCCCTAAGAGCCAGCGGGCCGCCCCGGCTGCTGCGCCGCACAGAGCGGCCTGCCCGTCCGCCAGCAGCACCGCCCCAGCGCCCGTGACCCGCCGCCGCTCCTGCCACACACCCACCGAGCCCCGGGACAGACCCCCACCCCGCGGCCCCGCTCCCACCACCGAGAGGCGCTGCCTCAGCCAGAGCCGGCAGTCACCGAGTGACAATCGGCCGTGTCCTTCAGGGCACCCCTCCCCTCCCCTCCGCGCCCCTCCGGCTATTCCTCAGCCTCCCCCTTCTTTCTCAACCGCTCGCACAAGCTCTTCTTTGTCCATTAAACCAAGACAAGACTCGCACCCTTCCCCCTTTTCCGACATCTTAACCCGGCTCCCCGACCGCTCCTCCAGAGCTAAGCGTCCCGCGCCATCAACATGGCGGCAACCACCACCTCCTTCCCTACCCCGCTCCCCAACGCGGCCGCGCGGCGCGGGATCTGCCGGGAAATGGAGTCCACGCCCTACACGCTGCCGCGCTGTGGGTGCCCCAAATAAACTACAAACCCCAGAAGCCCCCGCTGCCAAGAGGCGCCAGCCAATGGCGAGGCGGCGGCGCGGGCGGTGGCCCCGCCTCGGCGGGCGAGAGGGGTGATGTCATTGCCCAGCGGGGGCCGCGGGGGCGCGCTGCGCGCCGCCGCTCATTGTGCTGGGCCGGTGCCGCGTCCGCTCCCGGAGCCGGCGGGGTCGCGCTCCCGCTGCTGTTGCGCTGCCGGGCGGGCGGCCCTGCGCGCATCCCCGCACACGGCTGCCTTGCGCCCAGCCCTGCAGCTCCTGTCCCGGCCGTGCTGGCCCCAGGGTGGCTCGACAGCGTTCCGGAGGGCTGCGCTGCGCTGCACGGGCGGTGGGGACTGAACACGCGTCCCCGAGCGGGACTGCCTTGCGCCCAACCCCGCTGCACACATCCCGGGGAGCTGCCCTGCGCCGGGAGGGCGGCCAGCACCCATCCCGGTGGAAGTGGGCTGCCTCGCGCTCATCGGCGGGGTCCGCAGCTAGCCCGGCGTGCGGGGCTGCAGCGCCCAGCCCCGCTGCCCGTCCCCAGCGTGCGGCGGCCCGGGGCTGCCGCTCCTTCCCACCGCCGCTGACCGGCTCCTGGCTCCCGCCTCGTTTTATGGTCGTGGAGAGGGAGGAAAAATCCCAAACCAGGTGAGTTCTGCGCTGCTCTTCTCTTTTTGTGTGCTTTTCCTTGTCCTGTTACCTCCTCCCTCCCAGGCCCCCATCTCCCGATGCCCTTCCCGCACTGTGCGCTCCTCAGTGGGGAGCAGCGCTGCCGGGCGGGACTGCGCTGTCGTTCCCTGGTCCTGCTGAAAAAGGAGGGGCGGGAGGGACGGGGAAGGGGGGGGGAACCTAACCCGCTACATGGTCTCATCCCGCGGAGATGAGTCTCTCTCGCTGCTGTTCGGGCCCGGGGCTGCGCGTCCCGCAGCCCCCGGGAAACTCCCGCAACTCTGGGATGCTCCGGGCGCCCCGGAGATGCGCGGTCCCGGGCCGGCGGGGAGCCCTGTCTCGTTTGCCTCCCTCGCTGGGTAAGAGTGGAAAATAAGATGGATTTTGAATTGCTGTGGTTAAGCGCCGCAGAGCCTGAGAGAGCCGGGCTCCTGAGGACAGAAGGAATACGAGGTGTGCTTTAGGGTGGTTTTGGGGGCGTTGGTGGGCTGTGCGCGGCTTCGTTGCTTTGACACCGCTATTCCTCCCCTCTTTCACGGAAACGGGGCAGATTTGAATCCAGCTGGCTCTCAGTCCTGGCTGTGTGCAGTTGGTCCAGGTTTCTTTTCCAAGTCACATCATGAGTTAGTATGTTAAAAATTCTTGGCTGGACAGTCTGATGTTTTATTTCAACTTCCAAACTACTGTTCTGATCTTTTTCACTTTTATTGTAAATACAAGAAGTGTCTCTGTTTTAAACTTTGTAGAAACTTCGTGCTCCAGCAGAGCTTCATTTTGGTGTGACTTTTTATTTGTTTCCCTCTTCCTTGCTGTTTGTGAGGTGCAATTTGGTTCTTTACTTGAGCAGTCCTAAGATAGTACAACATAAGAGATTTTTTTTCGTTATTATGTGACATCAGAAGGTTTTATCCCCTTCTGTAACTAAATTACTTCTGCAATTGCTAGTGGACCCCAGACACCTCATTTTGTGCTGGTGGCAATGAAATGCGTGCACACAGAGGGGTCCTGCTCGCTTCAAGTCTGTCAGTATCTTTCAGTGCCTTTTAAAGTTAATTTTCACTAGAGCCCCACTTGGAGGCTGTTCTGAGAGCAGCAAGAGTGTGCAGCTGAGCTGGTATTTTTAATTTTTTTCCTCCCCTCTGCTGCATATTTGCTTCTGCGCTTCTCTTGTGTAACTGGCACTGTGTGTCCTCTGGCAGGGCTCTCCCTGGAATTGCAGTGCTGGGGAGAGGGTGACATGAGTGCAGTGGGGACAATGAAACTCCCTGTTTGGTTTGCTCAAAGTGTTTGTAAACACCCAGGCGGTGTTGGGGTGTCCGTGTGCAAGGGATGGTGCTTTACAGCTTCCCCTCTTCCAGTGGGATAAACATGCTGCATCCACACCTCCTTGCATTTATTTTAACTGGGTTTTTTCCTTCCTTCCTCTTTACTACTGACTCAAAGGGGAAGAACAACAGTGCAGGCAGGCGTTGCCTTTGGTTGGTCTTTTTTTAACATTTTTGTTTCCTGGAATGGCGTTTTCCTCTTTATTTTACAAGGGAGGGAACAGAGAATTTAATAGAGTGTTTCCCATCTTGGCTGTAAAAGGAGAAGTTTTGTAGCAGTGATTTTGTTAGCTTGGGATAGAAGGCACTGGATATGAAGTGGTAATTTGAAAGTGTAGCCTGGGAATTGTTCTGGGAAATACTGATATAGAAGTTGGTGAGAAGAAGCAAAGAATTCATGGCCAGGGATTTTGCATTTAAATATCACAATTTTTGTGATGCACAAATTTTAAAATTCTGTTTTCATCTTTCTATATGTATATATCTTGACCAAAACAAGCATAAATAGCAATGCGTATGTATTTTATAACAATACATATGTGTTTTTTATACATATGTGTATGTTTTTCACAATTTATTACATTTTTTGGATTTAGAAAGATTTGTGACAATGTATGTTAGCGTTTTCAAGCTATATTATACCATATCAGGAGGTGGATTAAAAATGTATCTCAGAAATATACACTGTTGTATCAATTGGCTTAAATTTTGCCTTTCAGAAACTGAAATACAGACACATGAAAAGGGACTGAAAAAAGCTGAAAATCACTCCATGATTGCTGTGAAAAAACCCAAATGAACTAGGGGACCCTTCCTCTTGTCCCACAAAGACCTAAATGCAGTGTATGTATTTACTCTGAATCAAGAATTCTCCAAAATGCTGGTTGTTGGAAGCAAAGAAAATGTCCCAGGAAGACAGCACTAAACATTTCCTCAGGTCTTTTACTTTTTCCCCCCATTTCTTACTTGTGTGCAGTTTCCGAAGGGAAGTTTAGGATTAGGTGGTCTCATGGTCATACTCTGCAGAGTTTTCTTGTCTTTTAGTCCTGTTTCTCCTGAAATTGAGTATGATGCCAATTATTGGCTTCCTAGTGAATCCAGAAATCACATCCTTGCAAATGGGTTTTATGAGCATCACCTGTGTGCCCCGAACTGTCCCAGAAGCGTTGCTGCCCTGGGATGCATGCATGTCACCCAACCTCGTGTACGGGAAACCCAAAGACTGGTGGGATGAGGGGAACTGGGAAGAGCCAGAGCTGGGCCAGCCTTGCTGGCTTTTCAGCTTAACTTTCCTCTTTGCTCCAGAGATAAGCTATGAGAGGACAGGGATTTCTGTAGCCTGGAGTTGGTGAGGCAGCTGAAGTTCCTGAAGCCAGAGGTGGATGGCTGAAGGTGGCTCTTCAGAGAGGAACTGCGGAGTTGCTTCCCAAGCAAGCAAGGGGAGAACAGTGTTTGCAGGCAAACAACCCCCATTTGTCACTCTGCTGTGACAGAGCTTTTCTCTGTTGGCTGCTCTGTGCCCTGTGCTCCCCATCTTCCCAGACCCAGCTGCAGGTGGTAGGTGTTGCTCACAGCCTGGGCTGGAGTGTGGTGGCTCTCTAATGCAAGCTGTGGAGAGCTTGTGGTTTGAGCTGCCTTGGTTTGGGTCCAAGCTGGCATCCATCAACTGGCAAATTGAGACACTTGCTCTGAGTTTTGTGGTGTGTCCCAGAGAGGTGTATTTGCAGCTGGGCGTTTTGTGGGAGGCATAGGTTTGTTGGCATTTTCTTATTTTTACATAAAATGTAGCCAAACAAGGAATTATAATAGCTGGGATCTAGATGGATTCCATTTCTCTTTTTAAGGCTAATTGCCTTTTTTTAAGGACAGGACCAGCAGTTTGAGTGCAAGCCTTGCTCTCTGAGTACAGAAGGAGGAGTGGGGAATGTGCTAGGTGCTAGTTCGTGCATGTTGTCAAATAACCACCCAGGCAGTGAGAAAATTAGAGAGATTCATTGCAACTGTGTGGCTGGCATGGCAGCAGTGCAGAAAGTAGCACAAGATGGGCATACCTTGCAGTGAAGAAGCTCTTTTAGATACTGATGCTCATGTGGATGTCTGCAAAACTTCGGAACAGGAGATTTAGGAGACAGTAAAATAATTTCCTATATTGTAGATGGGTTTCTGACCCCAAAAACATCAGCCCAGCTGGAGAGATCTTAGAGCAGTTGGAGAGGTCTTGAGGCAGAGATGCTCAGCAACAGCTCTGCTTTAGCTGGAGGGCAGATGAGATGACCTGAGGCAGTGTTTTGATTGACTTCCTACTTTCCACAATTTCATTTTGCAGCAAGTCATTTAGCTTCCCGCTCCCTCCCAGTGCTTCTGTCAATAACTAACTAAATTCTCCTTTTATTTTTAATGGCTCTCTTACAGCAGGAAAGAAGTGGTCTGTCATGTTTGTCATATAATCCTGGTTGGCCTGTGAATAAATCATGGATTTAAAGTGGGGGGAGGGAAGAGGTCGAGTCAAATATTCCTCAGGTGCTGATATGTTGAAATAATTAGGACGTAACAGGGATAAAACTTGTCCCTTAAAATCATTGTCAGCTTTTAAACAATCAAGACCACACTGAAGTCTGTTGCTGTTGCAGTAGTTTCATAAATAATTTGTGCTATTAAACATTGGCCCTGCATAAGGTATTAGTGAGATTTGTGTTGTAATGTCATTTGATTTCACCTTGCATAGATAAAAATAATTAGAGAGCTTTGTTGCTTTGGGTTGAGGAGCGATATTTAGGTTGTGAGCAGCTTGAGATTCACTTGCTATTTGTCATCTCTCCTCTCCTGGAGTTACTGCTTTCACTACACTGCAGAGGTGCACAGTTCTCTAATATACTTAAGGCAAAATTTAAACCT